TCCAGGAGTCTCTTCAAATGCTATAAATTATGGAAAAACAATATTATGTGAAACAAACTTAATACATTTCTGATTTCCCTGAACATGACCTTGAGAGGATACTACTAGCCTTTTGGGGGGGGAGGGAGTGCAGTTTTGGAAGGAGAACACTTTGCCATTATGAAAGGGTGGTCAGGATGGACAGCATCCTTGGTGTCCTCCTACCTTGTTTTATGTAAGTATCTACATTGTAATTCCAAAGGGAAACCATTGGGGAAGTTTAGAGATTCTGATCAAACAGAACAGGTGCACTGACCCATAAATTGTCACTCTTCTGAAAGGCTCATAATTTAAAAAATGAATCCAAGAGGGTTTACTGTAAATTACACACAGGGAGAAAGAAATTAATAGGATTTCATTTTTACACTCCGCAGTAACTATATAAAAAAGAGCTAATGATGTCCAGTTCTCCTCGACCTTCTCTTCTGTAAGTGGTGAAGGGAGGTTGTTGAGAGATTCATGACAGTGATTGCAGATGCTTCATGGTAATCCTTCCTCTGGTCTTATTCAACTTTTTCCCTATTGTATGAATGAAAGTGAGTGTAACATGACACAGCCCATAGAGCCTCGATAGGAGTCAGTGGGTAGATGTCACTTGCAAGTAATAGCAATTGCTCTCCAAATATTGACCTGGTTAATTTATCAACAATAGATTTCAATGGAGAAAACTTATATTTGAAGTACAAATATTTTAAAATCCCATCCCTCTGCTTTAAGGTACCCTCCTCTCTCCCACATAATTTCAATTCATGCACACATATTTCAACAAACATCGTTGTGCCTTTGTCAAACATATTTTATCAGTAATTTCATTAATATTATTGCTGACACAGAAAATAGTGCATCAAGGAAATCTGAACCAAAATCGAAGAAATGTAAACTAATTTGAAGTGAACCATATCTAAATTATTTGATCTCTTGGCCTTCTCTAATCTTTTAACCAGTTAACTGCCATGTGTCCAAAAAGGAAACCATCCCCACATGCCATGATATTTTGAATTTAATTGCATCTATAGACGCTTATGGCATAAAAGGGGTTAAACAAACAAACCTCAAATTCTGTGAGAACTGCAGACTTTAGCCTGGTGTGAGAAGGATCATAGAATAAGACTGAATACTTTAATCAGTAAATGATTCCAGGACCTACAGTGGAATATGAATTTAACAAAATATCTATTTTCCTAAAGAGCATTAAATGGGTGGGGATTTCAGGGTGACAAAGGAAAAGAAAGAAGAAAGTTCAAGTGTGAAAGGGAGGATGGTGTCTATAGACCAAGTATAATAGATGGACAGCCTACATCTATCCACAAAGCCCCATTTCTGCACAGGTGTTAGACATGGCTAGTGGAAGCCAGAACTCCTACCTGCTGGATGTGCTGGCTGCCCTCACGGACCTTTGCAAAGCTTGGAGTGAGAGAGAGAGGCACTGAAAGCTGCCAGGCAAGGGAAAGCCCATTTGCCATTCCTGCTTGGGAGGCTCCAGGACAGGCAGGTCTCTTCAGGAATGGGAGCTCAGCTCAAGGTCAGACTCCCTGGTGTCCCTGGAACAACATTTTCTCTTCCTTCAAATGAGCTAACTTGGGGTAACCAGGGCTTATTCCAATGACACTGTTACTGCTACTCAAAGCACTGCAGGAATTGCTTGCAATACTTTGTTTTTGAGCAACTTACTGGCTTTACAGTCAATCAGAAATCACACCAAAGTACTCCTGGTTGTTTCCACACCTAAGACCCACACTGGAAAAATGCAACTTTGTCCACATGTGACCCCCTGCTGAGCACATCTGTAGACAGTCTGTCCTCTCTCCCCCAGGCCCACTTTCTTTTCTCCCCTGTCCCTGTGATCTGCCCTGCTTTCATCTCCTCTTCATACCTACCATCATTTTCTCTCTCCCCACCACTGAGTTTCTATCCTCCTAGGCAAACCTCAAGGGAGGATTATACCTTTCATCTCCTGCCCAACCCTTTCTGCTTTCATTAATGCCATTACCTTTTTTTCCTTTGGAGTAATTTTCTTTAGTGCAAGGAAACAAACTGTGTTCAATAAACAAATCTACATTTTACAGATTGTAAAAGTCATATAAATTATCTTGGTATGTATTTATGGTTTCACTTCCCTGATGCATCTATATAAATGTCCAACACAAGACCCTGATTTTGTGATCAAGTCTTTTGATCTTCTATTTGGATTCCTTGTCCCACCCACTCTGGACTCAGTGTGTATCACACATTCTTCACATCTTCATGAGGAAGTTTGCAGCCAGAGGCAGAGGTCACACAAGTAGTGCCTACAGCCTAATTTTTATAGATAACTTTTCATTGGAATACAGTCATGCCCCATTTTTAATCTCTGATAGACACCAGAGATAATCCATTAGTAAATTAAAAAATTGTTGAAACTTACTAGACCAAAAAAGCAGCCCCATGCTCAAGATAGTCACCAACATTGTAGGTTCATTCCAGAACAAATTGGTTTCTCCATATCATGGGGTCTCTTTTCCTTTTCTCTAAAATGTATCAGATGATATCCTTTTCTACCCCAAGCTCTGAAGCACAGACAATCTGTTTGGATTTTCTAGAATGTTTAAGCAATGGCAGCATCACTGGAATAAGTCCATAGTACCCAAGTGGGTACTATACATTTTGAAGTACAATTTCTTGTATTTTTGCTTGTAAAATATTAAAATGGAATGTATGCATCCTCCTGGAAGTTCCCCAAATCCTCACATCCATTTTATAAAAACAGTGCCCATTGCAAGTCAACTTTCAAATAAGAAAACATTTCTCTTAAAAGTGAGGATACTCTACAAAACACATGGGAGAAATGGACTAACTGGTAGCCCATTATCTCTTTCAAAAAAGATGCTCATGGTTGTGCCAAATCATATTTTTCTTAGTAAGTCACACTGAACGAGAAAGGAAGATAAATCACCAGGAAAATGCAAGTGAGCTGGTAATAATCGCCTAGTTATTGCTGCCATGAAATAGTCATTAAGTTATATGCAGCATAAATCTCACCGAGTTTTGTAAATTATGGTGGTTCTTACAGGCCAAATAAAGATAAACCCTCTTAACCATGGCTGCCCCTATCTGTGCTCCTTGGCATGGCTTTTTAACATGCTTTAGCTCAGGCTCATAGTATCATATGGTTCCTGAAGCATCTAAGAAAGCATTCAAATTCCACAGCAAATTCAAGACCCCTCTTGCACATTTTGAAGGTGAATTATATATATATATATA